GAAAAACAGTTAGCCAGTTACTTTGCCTCCAGCCATGTTGAAGGTTGAAGACAGTTGCTAAAAGAGAGTGGAGGGAAGGGAGGGAGAGAGAGAATATAAAAAATAAATAAATAGAAACTTGTCCTTAAAATATTCTGTTTGTTTTTTTAAAACCAAAGCAATTTTTAATCCTAAAATCACATTTAATGTGATTTCTATGTGTACACACATGAATGCACACTATTTCCCAATAATGTTTCTCCTGTCTAGAAGGCATTTTTTTAAAAGACTCTGTGAATATCTACCAACTAGAGTTCAAATTGTTTAAAGGATTGCAGCCGGTAAGCAAAATTGTTTGCTTGCTTTTTAATTGGGAGTAAGCCCGACTGAACTGGATAGATATGATTTCAGACTAAACATAAGTAAGTTCAGAATGCGAAACTTTTGAAGCAGAGGAGGAGGTGGAGTAAACTATCAAATCTACAGTGTTATTTTGCCTTTGGGATTTGGATCTAACCTCCTTCAGCTATTCCAGGGTAGCATTTGTTTATACTGTATTTAGTAATACAGTCTCACATTTCTTGGCAGCAGAATGAATTATGTTTTCTATTTGTGTAATGACACCAGTTGGCATATAATTTCTAAAGGTTTATTAATGCTCAGTGAGATGTTTTAAGATACGATGAACCCAGCAGGTTATATCAAAGCTTGTGCCTTGAAATCTCCTCCTTTTTATTTTTTGTTTATTGTTTGATTGCTTGTAACTATCTGAAAAAAATGAAAACATTTCATCTCTCTTAAAGGCAGTAATAAAATTGAGAAATGTGATATGAATATAAAATATTTTTTTCTAGATATTATTTTGCTGCAGTATGTTGTGTCTTTATTCACAGATACTTTAAGAACAAGAGGTTTTCCTACCAAAATATTTTAAATGATGCACTTTAGACATTCCCATTGCTTTCTGAATCTATATTAAGAAAGCATGAATTGAAAGATGAGGATTATTTTAAAATATACTAGTTATTAAAACATCAAATTCATATTGAATTTTAATTCTACTTTTTCTCCTTGCTCCTTGTTTTCAACACTAAATCTTCCAGCTCATTGGGTTTTCAAAAAAATGAAGAGTGGAATTCAGCATAATAACTAGTATTGCCCTGAATTCCACTCTTCATTTTTGAAAATCCAATGAGCTGGAAGATGTAGTGTTGAAAACAAAAAGCACAGAGAAAAAGTGGAAATAAAATTCAATATAAAGAACACCAAACTAGTGCCTGTATGTTTAGCAACTATTCTTAGAATTGACAGTGAAGATACTGATGTGGTGTTTTTTAGGATCAGCAATCAACAGTAAAGTAACAAGAGATGAAGAAATACACCAAAGACTAGTCCTTGATAGAGTAATATTGTAAAGAAGGCCTTAGGAAAGATACTTGGACGCTCTGACATCCAAGTATCTTTTCTAAGACCTTCTTTACAGTATCTTTGATCCGAAAGGTCAGAATTGTTCAGACAGTGGTTTTCCCTGTGATACTCGGGGGTGGGGGGGGGGGGGTCGAAGTTGGACTTTGAAGAAGCAAGATAGAAAGAATATGGACACTTCTCATTACCAGAAAGGACTCCTGAGAATATCATTGATAGCTAAGAAACAAACAATTGGATTATAGAACAAGTGAGACTTCTCATTTGAAGCACAAATGATCAGGTTCAAATTACCATATTTTTGAGATGTTATGTGAAGACCTAGCTCTCTTGAGGTATGTGCTGCTGGGATAGTTGGAAGGAAAGAGAAGAAGAGGATGACAGAGGTGATGGGTGCAGCATTGGAAGAGATAAATGTCCAGATTGGGAACAGGTCCTTATGAATAAGGTCTGTTTATATTAATTTCTTATCATTAATATGAAACATAAAAGTGCCTAATGTAGCAGTTAATATTTTAAATATAATTAGGCTGCCAAGGGAACATCCCTATCTATGTCCTCTGGTGTACAGTATTATAATACAGTTTCTCCAGCATGGTATTTTCCAAATAAGTTGGTCTCTTAATTCTCAGCCCAGTGTCTTAGAAATCTGGTACTTGTAATTCAAGCATATCTGGAAGGCAAGCTGAGCAGATGGAGGCATCATTATAAAATCTTAGTTGTACTATTTTAATTTTTCTTTTTAAACAAAACTCAGTATAGATTGCTGTTTGATGGATACATCAAATGCCTGGAATAACTCAAGTTTGAATATAGGTACCGTAGGGATAAGATTTTTGAAAATAATAATTTTCCTGATTTTTGTGAAAATGGTTTATGTTTTCTTGGTGCATCAGGATTGGACAATATGCTTGCCATCTTTATTTAGTAACTCGGCATCAAATTTCTTGTCCTCTAGAGGTCTCTGCATCTGCTTTATGAAACCGTCCCCTTGCACATCATGAAAAACTGCAAAGAATCATTGTAATACACAAGCAGGTCGATTTGAAAAGACACCCCCTTTGTACCATCAGGTCTTGTGGTCCTGCAGTTTTGGCTGCTAAATATAACCAGGATTTTTTTTAAAGAAACAATCCTGGCATACAGCCCTTAATCTGTTAGAATTTCTGTGAACTTCCTGTTAGCCCTCGGTATGATACCAAGGCCTGAAAACATGGCAGAAGTGTATCACTGTTCAAACAATTTTCTAGCTGCCCTAATCCTTTCCTGCTAGTACTGTTGCTGTTTTTGCTATTGCTGCTGTTGCTGAAAACTGTTTTAGGAAAAAAATATGTTTGCATCTACTACTAAGCAACTCCCAAGTAGATGAAGAGGATTTGGGTGAAAAAGAGTTCTGAGTTTCTAGCAGGCTCTTCTCAGACTTATCTGGTTGACAGCAGTTTGGCTTCGCTGTAGAGATTTGGGACATCTGCAGCAGCCCTCTCCAGAATGACACTTCCAACACTACACAACTGTCTGGAGTTTCTGGGTTATCTTCCTTTTTAGAAGATTAGAAAATAACCTTTTGTTTTCTGGCTGCTGGGAGAACAAGAACATTGGCTTAGTTGTCTAAATGAAAATATGAAATGTGCTTCACACTTGTATTGAACATTTTAATTTCTTTTCTTTAAAAAAAACAATAAACTGAAAACATCTGGGGGGAGGAAACCCCTCTGCATATCTTATGTGCATCTTGGTTAGATCCATTGTGGATAATTAATATGCCCACTGCAGCTTTCCCATTTCTCTACATATTTTAAGAAAGAACTCTTAACTAATAAATCCTTTCTCATTTAACAGGATTCATGCCCCCCTCTTAATCTTCTTGGTTTCTATTTCCTAGCTCAAATGTGAGCAACAAGTAAAATTCCTGGTTCACATGTACTACTAAGCAAAGTACAGAATAAGCTTCTACTTATTGGTGGGAAGAGCCAAATGGAAAAGAACAGGCAGTTTAGGCTAGTACGCTCAATTCACAATAAGGTAGGAAACTAAATAATTCTGGCTTAGCATTGTTTACAAATGCCAATACGGTTTTCCTGATAACATTTTGTACAATAAAGTAAGAATTTTGGCTTAAATTCATACAGCACTCAGAACAGGGGTGGGTTTCTGCTGGTATCACTATCGGTTTGGTGCCCGCACAATTTTGCGCAGTAGCCTATAATTAGGTCTGTGCATGCACAGAACACTTAAAAAGGTCAAAAAAAGATGTCACAACAACTGGTTCAGAGACGTGGTAAGCATTCCATCCCTACCGGTTTGGAGACCCAGTCGCCATTTCCACTACCAGTTCCCCTGAACTGGTCCGAACTGGTAGGAACCCGCTTCTGACTCAGAACCTTACATAAGGAAGTCAAAACAAATGTTTTTTTTTTCAGAAACAGGCTTGTGGAGACCTTAGTGTTCTCTGAGCTTGATTGTTTTCTTGCGGACATTTTGTTATTTGACTAAGTAACACCATCAGTACCTTCATCACCATGTCTACAATACCCTCTAAAGCAGCAGCCTAGGCACTGATGATGTTACCTAGTTGGGTAATTAAATGTCTACAAGCAAACAGAGGTACATCTGGCAGGACCTAGAAGAAGGGTCTTCACCCTGGTATCTCCCTACCTTTAGAACATCAGTCCTGCAGAAATTAGACTCTCCCCCCCACCCCCGATTTTGACAATCTTTCTTAAGGCCCTGAAGACTTGGTTTTGCCAGGGAGCTGGGGAACCCAAAGGTGATGGAGCCTATCAAATGGCTTATTTAACTGTCTGTTGTTGTCTGGTAGATGGATGGTTTTTTAAAAAAAAATATTTATTTATTTTTCCATGCTGGATTTTTTATTGTTTGTAAGCTGCCTAGAGTTGTTATGAGTGAGTAGGCAGCTATACAATTTTTTTTAAAAATAGTTGAGCCCTGAGCAACATATATTCTCCTCTATTGATATAACAGGCTTGGCTTTAAGGGGTTTTAAAATGTATTTGTTAATCCAAATGTGGTCCAGATAATTTGGATTTTTGGAACTCTTCTGGGCCTGCAGGGCTTTGATATATCATACAGATTGTTTAGATTGGAAATGAGAGAAATGAGGCTAGAATTGCCTTAGCCAGCCTGGTAACTTCTAAATTTCTCAGATTACACCGATCATTTCCAATCAGGGCTCTGTGCCAGCCCCAGGAAGGCTACTTATTAGTTATCTGTGGATCTATCAAGAGAACTGAAAACACTGTTAAAAACATGTCCAATCAAACATTGCTAGAGCATGTATCTCTAAGTTTTTATCTCTGTCTCAGGTTCAGCCTACGCTTGAAGACTGTTTCTGTTGCTTTACTCTGGAAGTAGTGCTTTCCTTCTTTCTTACCTTGGCTCAATTTGTTTCAAGCAGGCAATGTAGAGCACAACTAAGCATGTAGGAAAGAAGTGACAAATTGCATGTTGTTGCCTCATATTGATCCTTACTGATTCTGTGTTTGCCTAATGGGACTACTCACTTTTTTCTGGCCCCTGACCTCTGATTAGTGGTGATGGAGTTGCTGAGGTCCTCTAGGGATGGGTTTCCAGCAGAAGGAAAGCAAAAGCCTTGAATTTCCATTACTTGGCAATAGTGCTGAAAGGAGAAGAATGAAAAATGAAATCATATTGACTGTGTGGTTTAGGGCATGCTGTGGGGGCAGCAAGATTTAGGGGAGCCTGGTTTACCGTCAGCAATGGAAAGAAAGAAGGCACAGAAGGGTTGTGTGGATTTTAGCTTGGCTTTTGGTGGTCAAACTGAAATGTGTGACTCAAGTAACAAACTTCAAAGAGTATTTTTAAAGGGATTCACGGATTCTGTTGTATTTGGGAGTGAGAAGGGATTGTATGTAACCATTGAAAGTGCTGTGATTTGATTGGAATATAAATTTTGTATTAAAAGACATAAAAACATACATAAGTAAACACTTGGAAGTTGTCCCCAAAATAATTTGATTATTGTCTCTCAACATAAAGTGGCTTTATCTTTTATATCTTTTGTAGTGTAGTTCCAGTTCTTGTTTATCCCATCCTTCCCATGGTCTAATGGACTTTTTTGCTGTGGCCTTGAAGCTGAGCACCTGTTCCTTGTTGACATAATTGACATTTTTGTCCTAAGAAACTTCCCAGGTTTAGCAACAGCTGGCAGCTATACCCTCTTCTCCCTCCTACTCTGCCACAGAAGGAAATAGGGATCAGAGGACCCCAGAACTAAAGGAAGAAACATACACTCATTAGCCTGAATCTTCATCCTGCACCCTTCAGGCCTCTGACTCTGAGCCTCAGAGCATGGCAGATTACATATACCTTGAAATTTTCCTGGTTGGTTTAATGGAGGGAAATATTGCTTTAACAATGGTACAGCTAACCATGTCTTAAGGCTTGGATTGGGAATAAGAGGAAGGTAAACTTGTGGTGGCATGCAAAATAAAGAGTCACCAGGAGATGTTTCTACCATAATAAGATATAGATGGGGCAAGGCCTCTCCTCAGTCAAGAAACCCTGAAATAAAATTAATGGCAGTGTTTGCCTTTGCCTTGTATCAAACAAAACTGAAGAAGTAGAAAGATCAAGGTCCGAGGGGCCTGCAGTAAGCTTTGAAGTGGTGTCAGGGGGAGTCAAAAGAAGAAAGTGCAAGTTAAGTGATTTGCTAATAATAAGAATGTGAATACTTGAGGGAGTGTCTGTCCTAGTATGAACGTGCTCAGACATTAAGATATGCAAGGATGGCAGCTACTGGGAGAGGCTTGTTTTGTGGGAGAGGGTAAAGGATCTTCTCTATTGTGAGATCCCAACTTTGGAATTGCCTTCCCTTGCAGGAAAGGCTGGTTCCAGCATTGTCTACCTTGCTATCTGGTAAAAATCTTACTTTTATTGTCACATTTGGAATTGGTGTCCACTAATAGTATCTGAGTGTTCAGTTTTGCTATTTGATTTATTGTGTTGCCATAGTTTGCTTTTACAGTAATTTTACAATCCTGAGCTTGTCGATCAGAAGGTCGGCAGTTTGGCGGTTCAAATCCCTAGCGCCGTGTAACGGAGTGAGCTCCCGTTACTTGTCCCAGCTTCTACCAACCTAGCAGTTCGAAAGCATGTAAAAATGCAAATAGAAAAATAGGGGCTACTTTGGTGGGAAGGTAACAGTGTTCTGTGCGCCTTCAGCGTTTAGTCATGCCAGCCACATGACCACAGAGACTTCTTCGGACAGCGCTGGCTCTTCGGCTTTGAAATAGAGATGAGCACTGCCCCCTAGAGTCAGGAACGACTAGCACATATGTGCGATGGGAATCTTTACCTTAAACAATAATCGTTCTCAGTAACATTGTTTTTCATGAACTGGATGGATATTTTAGGAAACTATCATATAGGGAATTAGTTTCTATGGCCCATCTGTCTCAACAACATCTACCCTAAGTGGTGGATCCTCCCTAGGATTTCAAGTCAAAAGTCTATTAGAGTTTGATCTGGAAATTTATGGGTTCAAAACAGTTATTATCCTCCCCAAACTAATTCAAGTGGGTGTTTCCTCTGGAGAAGTAATAAGGAGTCAGTATGAATATTGATTCAGTCTATAGATATTTCTATAAGTAAACTCACACAAATAAAAATTAGATAAATTCAAGATGTCGTAACTTGGTTTTGCCTGAAACTAGGCAAGCTTGAAATGTTATTTTAGTAAAAAGTGGATGTTTCTTGGCTACAGACTACATGAGGCTTCAGTTACTTTGCATTACTACTGATAGAAATGAGCAATCTTAGAAACTGAGCCATCTAAAGAATACCAAAGGAGGGCCTGGATGTTCAGTTGTTGCTGTGCATCACAGTATCCAAGGAACGGAAGTTTAATAAGGGGCAGGGTGAAACTAGACCCTTCCCGCATTCTAAAGGGGCAATTTAGCAGCTGTGCTTGTGCAGCGAGCTATTTCTGCCAGCAAGGTTCCAGGAAATGTGTTTTCGGAGATTTCTAAAATCATTTGGCATGTCGGGTTTTTTTTAAGGTTTACATCAAGGGCCTGTATGTGTGTGCAGAGACAGTGAATAATTTAGTGTACTTCAAGCCTGCATACATTTTGGCAGCTTTCACAGAAACCTCTGAAGGAGAAGGCGTTCTGGAGCTGCTGCCACAGCAGGCATTTCAATGCTGTAGCAATGTCAAATAGTTGCCTTGATCCTCCCTTTTGTTTCCACTGGCTGTTCTCCCTTCTCTCTCTCTCTCTCTCTCTCTCTCTCTCTTTCTCTTTCTTTCTTTTTTTTTGGGGGGGGGG